GTATTTATTATTATCATTTTTCAGTTTTTAAAAATTAGGGTTGACTATATTTTATTAGATCAAACCATAACCCTAAAACCTTTTTTATTTGGAGAAATACTCATCAAGGATTGACTGAACATGCATAATTAGAGAATGAAATCGACATACAAACATATAGAAATAATAACATGCTCTTTTTTCCATGACAGAAAAATTGACTATTGCCTCTTATAGTTTTGGAGATTTAATTTTTTATTTGGAAAGAGTAGATTCAAATGAAGAACTAGCACTACCATTTCACAAAGGAAAAAAAAATATGCCTATTTGATAATCTGATTCATCAATCAATATATGAAGAACTTTCACTCTCAAAAATAAATGATGCATAAAAAATAACTCAAAAAAATCAACATCTAAGTAATCAAACAAACAAATAAGTGGATATATTAAAAGAATTCGAGATTACATCAGACATATCACAACTGAAGACAAATTTTGTTGTGCAAATCCCATGAAAGGATTATACATAACCAAACAAACTTAGTGAAAATAAAACCATAACCTCAATCTATCAACTAACTTAATAATAACCCCAAATTGTTGCAGAAAAAAAGAGAAGCTTTAGAGATAAAGATTGAGAGGGTGGGACAGATACATACCTAAGAATTGGGGTACCGTTGGACGCATCACACAGTGAGACCATAGAGGGAAAGGGCAACAGGACGCAGATGGGATGAGGCCGAGAGAATGGAGGAGAGAGAGAGAGAGAGAGAGAGAAAAAAGCGCGTTGGTAAAGGGGATGAGGCAGAGGGATGAGGGCTGGAAAGGGGGAAGAGAGTTGGAGAGAGAGGAAAGGGGATTGGGAGAGGAGAAAATGGGGAGAGATGGACATAACAAAAGAAAATGGCGTAGGGTAGTTTTAAAAGGCGCCACAGACAGGGTTAAAACAGGAACATAAAAAAATAGTTAAAAATAGATATATATAAAAAAAAATAGTAAGCTTGAAATATAAGTACTATAGGGGATGTATTTGATAATTTACTCTCTTTTTTTTTATGTTAAAGTAAATTGGTTAAGGGAACAATGTACTAGAAGCCATACACAAAAGGCCAAAAAGAGAAGAAATAATAGAAAGAAAAAAAAAAGAAAGGAAGGGAAGAGAAGAAAGAAAGAAACACAAAAAAAAAAAAAGGAAGATGAGAAAGAAGAAAGAGGAGCAGAGGGAAGTAGCCTTTGGCAAGGAAATCTATTTCATTATTCTTATTCACTAAAAGCATGTTGAAAAAACAAGGACCTTGCAGAAAGCTAGAGGCGAATCTGATCAACTATGTGCCTCAATCTCCAAGGTTTAAGTAGTTGGATTAGAATATCAAGAAATGACATTAGAAGAGTACCCTTCGATAATACTTATTGTGCTTTGACACCCAATTTCCATTGCCCAGAGTTCAGCTTCATTAGCCGTGCATGGGTAATGGTATGGAAGAGGAGAAGATTACATTATCCTAGTGATCCCTAGGTCGGTCTCTAGCTCCTACTAGGATAATACTACCATTTGATCCTAGATCACCTCTTGAACTACCATCAAAATTTAATTTTAAACAACCTTCTTCTTGTGCGATCCAATTGGAAGCTCTAGGACATCTTCTCTTACAAAAGAGGAAGAAGAGATGAAGATTGCTCTTAATTTTTTCTCTCGATAAAGATTTACAATGAATATTGGTATGTATCCACAAGATCATCATCCATTCAACTTTGCATATAAACTCATCCCAAGAACATTGTCTGCTTTAAAAAAATTTCACATTCCTTTATTTCCAAACTTGCCAAAATAACGACGTTATTGCCATCTCAAAAGATTAATACTTGTCTTTTGAAATGGTAGAGTTAGCTAAACCGAGAAAAGATGGGTAATAGAGCTTGGAATAACCCAATCAAAGCAAAAAATACCCAGAATCCATTACCATAAGTTAGCAATAAACATGCAATGTAAAAACAAATGAATATTAGATTCTGATCATTTCTACGTAGAATACAAAGGCTGGGTGAATAAAGCCACTTCTCTGAAGTTGTTCCTTAGATAAAGTTCTAGCCCAAACTGCTAGCCAAAGAAAGGCCCATACCGGATTTGATACTTTGAAACCTCAAATTTTATTGGCCTAAGGCCTGTGCTGGAGGTAGCGATATTCGCTTAATCTCGCATAAAGATATTTTAATCTTCATGGTGAAGCATTATCTTGGATTTAATTCCCATATTATTGTATCCACTCTGAATGGGGCATAAAACATCCTGAAGGAGAGCTAACAATTGGACATATTGTGTCTCAATGACTTCATCAACCATTCTGTATCTTGATCAGATCCCAAACTGTATTGTACATGTCCTTGTCACCAACTCCCTAATTGAGGCCTTCTTTTAAATTGATTTCTAAAAAAAAGAAAGGAATTGGACTTTGAGAGGAAGATTGCCACACCATTTGGCACCTAGACATGTGTGTGAGTTCCATTACCCAATAATACTCTATTGTAATTAAGGAATAGTGTTCTACATATGTTAATATTGTTATGTGAAACCCATGCATTGGCCCTCAGTCTCTTGATTGTCGCTTGTTCTCCATTCTTGTCCTTAACGATGTGCTCCGGCAATTTCCCTCTATTCATTGCCAACCTTCACCATCACTTTGTAAACAAAGCTTCATTCATTAGTCTTGAGTTTTCTAATCCCTAGTCCCCCTATTTTTTGGTAGACAAACTGAATTCCAATTGACCAAATGATATTTCAATGCCTCGGCTGATCCCCTCCATGAAAAAGATTTCATCATAGACTCGAGCCTCTTGACAATCATGTTTGAAGCCTCGAGCAAGGAGATGTACTAAACAGGGTTATTAGATGAGAGGTATCCAAAGGGTTGCATGTCCTCCCAAAGATGGATATCTTGTTTTCCAAAATCCAATTTATACGAGAACCTTTCTAAGATGAGATTCCATATTATCCTTGAGGCCTTACTGTCAAGGAGTGGGGATTTACTTGGAAGAGTTTCGAACTCACTACCCATCCAATTCGCCCAGAGTTGTAGCCGATCTTCTTCACAGTTTATGCTAACAAGTTTCATCTTGAACAAATTAAATCCTTAAATCTGAAATTAGGTGGTAGCACTTGAGAAATAGACAAATATGTTGGACTCATTCAAAGGACGCATCGCAAAAAATGCATGTGTTACCTGCTTATTGCAGTTGAGAAATTATCGGTCCATTAGTGGAGGTGGAAAATACTTTTATAAGCCGTCTACCATACACTAATTTGATCATAAGACTAAGAGATTCTGCTACTATCTAAACGAGAAAGGAGACAAAGGGTCCCATGTTTTATGCCCTCCGGAAGCCTCAGAAAAACCAACTTCTGTTGAGCTAAAATGCAACAAGTTCCTAACATAAACAAACTCAAAGGAACAATACGACTTACACAATGAGAAGAAGTCGTTATTCAACTTCACATGCTTTTATTGCTAGCCTGCTCTCGGGCTTGGATCAACTCAAGTGAGCCAGTTAGGGTGGCAACAGAAAGGGTCAGGTCTGGCTAGAGCCCAGCTGGGACCGTAGAGGCCCGGCCTTGCCTTTTAATTGGCCCAAGCTGGGTTAGTGCATAGTCTTTCTTGTCCCACTAAATTCTTGAAACAAATTAAGTCTTCTTTAGGCTGAGCTAGGTTAGGGATGTTATTTCTTGTGTGAGGTATGTATAAGGTGCCAACCTTATACAATACAAGTAAGGCACACTTCTAAAGAAGAAGTTAGCTTTTAGGAACTTTAAATAAGGCCTAAAGTATTCAATGGTTAACAGGCTTCAAAGAAGAAACGATAACTCAAATTTTTCGTATTTTTGGAAGATATCATAATTCACTATTCTCATTTTTTCTCTTGAAAGCCAAAAAATAATAATTTATAACAATTTTTAGTAATTTTTTGAATTAGTTTTAAGGTTGGATCAGGTCGATTCACTAATCCAGACCCCAGATATGCTGACACTTACTGATTTTCTAGACAGATAAAGTGCGTCATGATCCTTTTTTTAAAACCTTGCTTAAATCTATTTTTATCTATTAATTAAATGATATTAGTTCATTATAATTCTTAAATTTGTCATTATAAGTTTAGAGTCACTTCATTTTATTAATTAAAATTTTAACAATTTGGTCCTTTAACATTATGTTCATAAAATAGAATTAATATTTAACAATTTGGTCCTTTAAATATTTAATATATAAAACAATATAAATTGACATATTTTGAAACAAGAAAAATTTTTATATAAGGTTGTAACCTTATACTATTAAAGTAAGGTGCCTGTCAAATATCCTTGAAAAGATAGTGTTCCGACATTGGAGAAACATCCAATGGATCATCTCGACCTCGAGATATGTGGATATGAAGAAACAAATTAATTTCATTTCCAAACAATAGTATATCTTAGAACAAGTTATATGGACCATCTATTTTCAAGATTTTGAAGCGTTACATATCTGCTTGATCCATACTATTTTTTAAACTTTAATTTTTATAACCAGAAGCAAAAATATAAGTTCTAGCCATTATATGATTTTAGACACTGGAATTACATCTCCAAGCAAATTTTAGAGGTGCGCCTTACTTCTATAGAAGAACTTTATACGAATTATTGGATTTATGGCCTTTCAAGGCTTTCATTTTAAGATTCTCTCGCTCAGTGGGAGTGAGTGAGAATGAACATGGGTGCTTGGCATTTTGGTGCTCAAATTCATATGCCTCATACCCCGAGTACATGAACCAATGAGTGTTTTATGATTTCAGAGAGATATCTTAAGGAAGTGTGATGGTCACCTCCAAATCAAGACTATGTTGACAAGTGTGCCTCATGGTTGGTGTGATTGACTGGTGTTAGGAGAACTAAAATAGTACAAAAGAGCCTGAGTAATTTATGAGTATCAGTCATGTGTGGGGTGGTCATAACTTATGGGACATGAGTTCGTACCCTGACACAAGACCACCCTACGGCATACGCACTCACAGTCGCATGGGAAGCCACTCTTTTAATATTTGATCCAATGAAGAGCTAGTAATCATATGCCTTGAGAGGACCCCTGTACATAAGCACTTATATATCCCGCATGGGTGTACTTGTAATCCATTGATAACCGCATAATAGAAAACTTGATTGGGTTTACTTTGATGATGTTAAATTATGTGTCCCTACTATATACTGTGGAACATATGCCCGTTAGGTCATCTCAAAATAAAGCGGACCACCATTTTGGCCTAGCCCAATGAAGTACTTTAAAGCCTTGGTATAAGCCTAAAGATCTCATTTACTAATTTTTACCATTTTATTATGATGAGAAAATATTTATTTATGGTTGAGAATCATTCAAAAAATTTTGGGAATTTTTTGAAATTATTTTGGATCCAAAATGTGATTTTTACAATTGTCTGAGAGTAATTCCAAGAAAGAACAGTTTGTGGGGCGGTCCCACATGCCACCCAAGTGGTCATAAGGTGGGCCACGTGGCTCCCCTTGCCATCCCCATGCTGATGATATCATCAGGATATCATCACAAGTGGAGTCCTATTTTTGGAATTATATTATTTATTCACTTAAGTTGTATAGTTTTTAAAAGAAGTTTATTTTATGGACAAAGATACCAAAAAGTGGCACCAATAATTAATTACTAATATAGGTGGAATCTCAGCCGTCAGATCTTCATTGGGTGGTTCAAAATACATGTCACTGTCTAAATTTTATTATTTTTTCTAAAAATCATATCAAGATGAACCAGCATGCACCATATAAAAAAAAAATTCATTTTCAAGAATTTAAAATGACCAAATCACCCC